TGCGGTTCGGTGCTGGGGAGGGTCCCCAGGGAATCGAGGCAGTAAGCAGAGCACTGGTCGACCATCTCAGGTGAGTAGGCACCTGACTCACCCAGAGCTCCCTGTTGGTCAGTTGTTCATAGAGGTTGTGTTTCCTGAGTTTCCTCCTCATTCCCAGCATAAGGCGCTAGTAGATTCAGGCGCAGCTGGGAATTTTATTGATCGTCAATATTCTCTTAGGTTAGGGATTCCTACTGTTCGTGTTGATGTGCCTTTTCCTGTCCACGCTTTAGATAGTCGCCCGCTAGGGTCAGGTCTAATCAGGGAGGTTACCGCACCACTCTCTATGAGGACGTAGGGGGGTCATGAGGAGAGGATTAGTCTCTATCTGACTGATTCTCCTGCGTATCCTGTGGTGTTGGGACTTCCCTGGTTAACCACTCACGATCCCACTATTTCCTGGCAACAGAGGGCTCTCAAGGGATGGTCCAGTCAGTGCTCGGGGAGGTGTGTAGGGGTTTCCTTAGGGGCTACTACGGTGGAGAGTTCAAACCAGGTCTCCACAGTGCACATTCCTTCTGAGTATGCCGATTTGGCTCTCACCTTCAGTAAGAAGAGGGCGACTAAATTACCACCCCATTGTCCAGGGAATTGTGCGATAAATCCCCAGGTAGGCGCTGCACTTCCCCGGAGTCACGTGTATCCTCTGTCACAGACGGAGAAGGTGGCTATGGAAACATATGTCTCCGAATCGCTGAGACAGGGATACATTCTGCCTTCCACTTCACCTGTTTCCTCGAGTTTCTTTTTCGTGAAGAAGAAGGATGGTGGGTTACGCCCGTGCATTGATTACAGTGGGCTTAATCAGATCACTGTCAAGTACAGCTATCCCTTACCTCTGATGGCTAGTATGACGGAATCACTGCACGGGGCGCACTTCTTCACGAAATTGGATCTCAGGAGCGCGTACAATCTGGTGCGTATTCGGGAGGGAGATGAGTGGAAGACGGTATTCAGCACTACCTCAGGACACTATGAGTACCTCGTCATGCCATACGGGTTGATGAATGCTCCATCAGTCTTCCAGGCCTTCGTCGATGAGATTTTCAGGGATCTGCACGGAAAGGGTGTAGTGGTGTATATTGATGACATCCTCATATACTCCGCTACACGGGCCGACATGTGTCCCTGGTGCGTAAGGTACTTGGACAACTGTTGAAGCATGACCTGTATGCCAAGGCAGAGAAATGCTTGTTCTTTCTGGAGTCCATCTCCTTCCTAGGGTACCACATGTCCACGTCTGGGGTGAAAATGGAGAGTGAACGCATTTCGGCCATGCATAATTGGCCGACTCCAACCACGGTGAAGGAGGTGCAGCAATTTTTGGGATTTGCCAATTACTACCGGAGGTTTATCCGGGGCTTTGGTCAGGTAGCGGCTCCCATTATCTCATTGCTGAATGGGGGACCGGTGCGTTTGCGGTGGTCAGTTTTGGCGGACAGGGCTTTCAATCGTCTGAAGAGCCTGTTTACCTCGGCACCAGTGCTGGCTCATCCGGATCCCTCCTTGGCCTTCACGGTTGAGGTGGACGCGTCGGAGGCTGGGATAGGTGCTGTACTTTCCCAGCGCTCGGGCACACCACCCAAGCTCCGCCCCTGTGCGTTATTTTCTAAGAAGCTCAGTCCAATGGAGCGCAACTATGATGTGGGGGACCGAGAGCTGTTGGCCGTGGTCCAAGCCCTGAAAACGTGGAGACATTGGCTTGAGGGGGCTAACCACCCTTTTCTCATTTTGACTGACCACCGCAATCTGGAGTACATCCGGGCGGCAAAGAGATTAAACCCTCGCCAGGCAAGGTGGTCAATGTTTCTTACCCATTTTTGTTTCACCCTTTCGTACAGACCAGGCTCCCAGAATACTAAGGCAGATGCTCTGTCCCGACTGTATGACACGGAGGAGAGTTCCGTGGAGCCCACTCCCATACTTCCGGCGTCGTGTCTGGTGGCACCAGTGGTGTGGGAAGTGGACGCGGACATCGAGCGGGCGTTGCGTAACGAACCCACTCCTCCCCAGTGTCCAGAGGGTCGTGTGTACGTTCCGCTGGAGGTCTGCGATCGGTTGATCTATTGGGCTCACACGTCACCCTCCTCTGGTCATCCTGGTATCGGTCGGACAGTGCATTGTCTTAGTGGGAAGTACTGGTGGCCCACCTTAGCTAAGGACGTGAGGGTTTATGTTTCTTCCTGCTCGGTGTGCGCCCAGTGTAAGGCTCCTAGACACCTGCCCAGAGGGAAATTGCAACCCCTACCCGTTCCACAACGACCGTGGTCCCACCTATAGGTGGATTTCGTGACGGATCTTCCTCCCTCACAAGGGAATACCACGATCCTGGTCGTTGTGGATCGGTTTTCTAAGTCCTGCTGCCTCATTCCTCTGCCCGGTCTCCCTACGGCCCTACAGACTGCCGAGGCCCTATTTACACACGTCTTCCGGCACTATGGGATACCTGAGGATATAGTGTCTGATCGGGGTTCCCAGTTCACCTCAAGGGTTTGGAGGGCGTTCATGGAACGTCTGGGAGTCTCGTCAGCCTTACCTCAGGGTTTCACCCCGAAAGTAACGGGCAGGTGGAGAGAGTCAACCAGGAGGTGGGTAGGTTTCTGAGGTCGTACTGCCAGGACTGGCGGGGGGAGTGGTCGGCGTTCCTCCCCTGGGCAGAGATGGCCCAAAACTCACTCCGCCACTCCTCCACTAACCTTACTCCTTTCCAGTGTGTATTAGGTTATCAGCAGATTCTGGCACCTTGGCATCAGAGCCAGATCGAGGCACCTGCGGTGGATGAATGGTTTCGTCGCTCGCAGGAGACCTGGAACGCTGCCCATGTGCGCCTGCAGCGGGCCATCGGGCGGCAGAAGGCGAGCGCCGACTGCCACTGCAGTGAGGCTCCGATGTATGCACCGGGGGACCGGGTCTGGCTCTCGACCCGAAACCTGCCCCTTCGCCTGCCCTGCCGGAAGCTGGGTCGGCGGTTTGTGGGGCCTTTCAAAGTCCTGAGGCGATTGAACAAGGTATGTTATAGGTTACAGCTTCCTCCTGAGTATCGTATTAACCCCTCGTTCCATGTGTCTCTCCTCAGGCCGGTGGTAGCTGGTCCACTCCAGGAGTCTGAGATACGGGAGGTCTCTCCGCCCCCACTGGACATCGAGGGGGCACCGGTGTACTCGGTCCGTTCCATCTTAGATTCGAGGAGTCGGGTGGGAGGCCTGCAGTATCTCGTGGAGTGGGAGGGGAACGGTCCGGAGGAGCGGTGCTGTGTCCCTAGGAGGGACATCCTTGATCCCTCCATGTTGAGGGATTTCCACTGTAGTCATCCGACTCGCCCCGTGCCGCGTCCTCCTGGCCGTCCCCGTCGGGGGGTGGGGGTACTGTCACGGATTCTGCCGAGGCTGCCCCTCCTCCTTGCTCGGGCAGGCTGCGGCGTTCGTCGTCACCGGAATACTAGTTACTGCTGATCTATGTTATATGTGTCTATGTTGCACCTGTTGTCTATGTCACACACCTGTTTCCCATTTGTGTAATCACGCCTACCCTATTTAACCCAGGTGCTCCCAATGTGTCTTGTGCGTGGTTGTTTTTCGTTTCGTATGTCGTTTGGTGAGCGGGTTAGTTCCTTCCTGCGTGAAGGTATTGCTGTGTTGTTTTCTTTACTCAAGTTCAGTAAAGTACGTTTCCTCGAGTTCTGTGTCCTGCGCCTGACTTCGATCCACCGCATTACACTGACACTCGTTACACTCAGAGCATCTAAAGGCGTCCGCATGCTTCCCAGACGAAACAGTTTGATAGGGTCTGTGTATATATTATGACGACATTTTGTGATGTTTTATGTTTGTTTTGGACTTTGGTTAGGGTTTTTTCGAGCATGCAACATTTTTTCTGGAGGCAAGCCCTTCGTCGGTGATTGGTCAATAGTAGGGAGTCTTAAATAAAGTATTTGTTGTCATTCAATGAGAGACGACTCGTTTACATTTTTTCATTGAAAAATACTGCACCAAACATCTTTGTTAGATGTAAAATTGCGCGACTAAGATCTCTTCGGCAAAAACATCAAAATTAATGTCAGATATCTTGAGTTATCTTAGATTAATTCTGACTATTTTGAGGAAGTGTATACTGGCTACGGCGTCTCAAAATCGACAGACAGTACTATTGCCGCTTTCTTCTCGTTTTTCAAGCGAAAGTCTCTTAAGGGAGAGTCTGAGCAACCCCGCCAGCGGGTGGTGTGCGATTGAGTAAGTACAGGCTGCTGCTGCAGTAATGCGTAGTGTGGTTGTGAGGTGGGTAGCAGGGTGATGATAAGAAGTCGTAAGTGGCAGACTGAGTGTCTCTCTGAGGGTCTCTCCTCTACTGGAGAGACAGTCCTCAGCTGCTTCAAGAGCCCTCTCATCCTCCCCACCTCTACCCCCTATCACCTCATCTAGCCTGGAAATGAGAAACACTACAGCCCTGGTTGTACTTAACAACCACTATCACTGTTCACGGACAAAGAACTGGGCTTTTCTTTCTGTGTCATCAAAAGGGAATCGAAATGGATTATTTCTCCTAATCCTCATATAAGACTACTAAGGTGTGCATATAATTACACTAAGGCTATAATCATGTTTGTTGATACTACACACTTTACGTTCTACATGAGACTAACCTGTATACATAAAGATAAAATAAAGCTAATGTTAACTCGCTAAGCGTACAGCACATGAATGACAATCAGAACTACATACGCTCACACACCCACACAAAGAGAGCATCTACATTTGAATACAGTAGTCTGTCATGTTACACGATTGCGTGTCATGTGATTGATTGTGTGTCTTGTCTGTCATGCGTTTGTGTGATGTCACGTGATTTAAGACAGTGGTTTGTCATGTGATTATCTGTCATGTGATTGTGTGTCAGGTCATGTGGTCTGTCATGTGATTGTGTGGCAGGTCATGTGACCGTGTGTCAGGTCATGTGACCGTGTGTCAGGTCATGCCATGATGGGGACTCACCCGGATCTTCTCCACCTCTCCCTTGTTGGCGGTCTGCTGTTTCTCCAGACGCTCACTGAGCTGAGAGCAGATCTGCAGGGGTCAACACAGAGGTCAAAGTTCAAACAGAGCACTGAGGTCAACTCCACACAGACAGACAGACAACCTTGTGGGGACGTATTGGACTGTGTGGGGGAGGCAAAGGTCGGATGGGGGTAGGGGTGGGTGGAGGCAAAGGTCGGATGGGGGTAGGGGTGGGTGGAGGCAAAGGTCGGAGGGGGTAGGGGTGGGTGGAGGCAAAGGTCGGAGAGGGTAGGGGTGGGTGGAGGGTCTCTAAAATGAGAGGTTCTAAAGTGTGAAAAGATGACATAACGGCTCATCCCACAGACAGAGATCATCCAAATAATGTATAACCTGCTCATAACAAAGCCTTATCATCCCACAGCTAATCCCCCTCCTTCAAAATAACCACTAGACTATGAGTGACTCAGAGAAACCACACGTCCCTGTGAGGATGGAGCCACAGCCTGACTGGGGGTTCACTGTCCCTATCTCTCAGCCTGCTGTTCCTGATGTGGGTGTGTCCCCAACCTTCTCTCTACTCCTCTGTCCCTATCTCTCAGCCTGCTGTTCCTGATGTGGGTGTGTCCCCAACCTTCTCTCTACTCCTCTGTCCATCTCTGTCTTCCTGCTCTACCAGTCCCTACTTGTTCCCTGTCTCTCTCAGCCTTCTGTTCCTGATGTGATCACCAGCCCACCGCTGGTCCCAGATCAGTTCACAGGAATCCATTACCACTCTCTACCACACATCACACTGTCAGTAGGCCTGTTAAAACAGACTCAGCACTGCACCAGCGACCAGAAAGGAACTATTTTTAAACAACGCATCTCCTCACCGTTTTTCTGCTTTCGGATCTGAAGTGGAGCTTTCAACTGGCACATAGCAGCCAGCGGAGCTGCTACCATCAATTTGATCATTTTCTGTCATTTTCAATTTCCCCTATTCATATTTTTAGATTCCAGTAAAAGATGGCGACGGCTGTTTTAAAATTAGCGACACTATTTCTGCTGGCCCTCAGTGCCTTTTATGCACTTCAGTGTTGTGTAATGTTGCTTTGGTGATGTCACTTAGAGTTTGTGTAGAGGATAAAACACATGGATAGGATGACTTTTACTGCTTATTAATATAATATAACTATTATTACTATTACTATTATTACTATTGTTATTATTACTAGTATACTACTATTATTACTACTATTATTACTACTATTATTATTATTACTATTATTACTATTATTATTACTATTATTACTACTATTATTATGACAATTGTTATTATTACTATTAGTATTATTAGTATTATTAGTAGTATTACTATTATTACTATTATTATTACTATTATTACTATTATTATTACTATTGGTATTATTACTATTACTATTATTACTATTGTTATATTACTATTATTATCATTATTACTATTATTACTATTATTACTATTGTTATTATTACTGTTATTATATTACTATTATTACTATTATTACTATTACCATTATTACTATTACCATTATTACTATTATTATAATTGCCATTATTACAAATATTATTATTACTATTATTATTACTATTATTACTATAATTACTATTATTATGATTATTATTACTATTATTAGTAGTATTATATTTATCCATATAGATAGATAAATTAGATAAATTACCAAACGGCAAATTTACATCCGTAGTCCCTAGGTAAGTAATAAATATGATGTTGTCACTATGTGGAATACAAATAAAAACAACTTTATACATATAAAATAAAAATAAAACGTTATATCTCCTGTCACCCTCTTACCTGTTTGTACTCTCCTATGATGGAACCATTATTCTTTATCTCAGACTCTGATTTGTCCAGCTCCCGTCTGCACATCTCTTTCAGCTGTGGACACATGCACGCAGACACACACATTGATATTATACACTGAATTAATGAATTTTTACATTTTACATTTTACACAGGGTCTCCCGAGTGGCGCAGTGGTCTAAGGCACTGCATCGCAGTGCTAGCTGTGCCACTAGAGATCCTGGTTCGAATCCAGGCTCTGTGGTAGCCGGCCACGACCGGTAGACCCATGGGGCGGCGCACAATTGGTCCAGGGTAGGGGAGGGAATGGCTGGCAGGGATGTAGCTCAGTTGGTAGAGCATGGCGTTTGCAACGCCAGGGTTGTGGGTTCGATTCCCACGGGGGGCCAGTATGAAAATGTATGCACTCACTAACTGTAAGTCGCTCTGGATAAGAGCGTCTGCTAAATGACTACATTTACATTTACATTTTAGTCATTTAGCAGACGCTCTTATCCAGAGCGACTTACAGTTAGTGAGTGCATACATTTTCATACTGGCCCCCCGTGGGAAACGAACCCACAACCCTGGCGTTGCAAGCGCCATGCTCTACAGGCTGCCTGCTTTGACCTACATGATAACCTCATCTCAGTCAGAGTCAACTGTCCTTGGGCCTGTATAAACTGCCTACTTTGACCTACATGATAACCTAATCTCAGTCAGAGTCAACTGTCCTTGGGCCTGTATAAACTGCCTACTTTGACCTACATGATAACCTCATCTCAGTCAGAGTCAACTGTCCTTGGGCCTGTATAAACTGCCTACTTTGACCTACATGATAACCTCATCTCAGTCAGAGTCAACTGTCCTTCGGCCTGTATAAACTGCCTACTTTGACCTACATGATAACCTCATCTCAGTCAGAGTCAACTGTCCTTGGGCCTGTATAAACTGCCTACTTTGACCTACATGATAACCTCATCTCAGTCAGAGTCAACTGTCCTTGGGCCTGTATAAACTGCCTACTTTGACCTACATGATAACCTCATCTCAGTCAGAGTCAACTGTCCTTGGGCCTGTATAAACTGCCTACTTTGACCTACATGATAACCTCATCTCAGTCAGAGTCAACTGTCCTTGGGCCTGTATAAACTGCCTACAGTAGAGACACACTCAAGGAGGAGTGTGATGTAGTCATCAAGAGGACAGCAACAGATGCCCCTTGAGACTGTTTCTCCCGTAAGTGGATGTCATGAGAAATAACTTAGAGAGAGCAGGTATTAGCAGCTCCTGTGTTGGGCCAAAGTCATGTCCTGGAACACAGGCAGTGGCCACAGTGCATATGGGAGCACAACATCCCCCTCTGTCTTAAAGACAGAAAGAGAGAAACAACACTGCTTTCCAATCAAGGTGCATCAACAGAAGAGCAATCTGAAGATGGAAAAAACATTCAGCAACTCTCAGAAGGGGACCTCCATTGTCTTTTCCAATACTAACGGAATCTTTTATTTTATTTTAAATAGACAGCCGGACAGTCAGACAGCTAGCTAGCCAGCCAGCCAGACAGACAGACAGACAGACAGACAGATAGCTAGCCAGACAGACAGACAGACAGACAGACAGACAGTCAGTCAGTCAGACAGACAGACAGACAGACAGCCAGACAGCCAGACAGACAGACAGACAGACAGCTAGCCAGACAGACCTGTGCAGACTCCTCCTCTAGTCGTCTCTTCTCATCCTCTGAATCCACCAGCTTCTGTTTGGTCATCAACAGCTCCTTGTTCAGAGCGTCTGCTTTCTCCTCAGCCTGAGGGACAGACAGACAGACAGACACATGGGTATGGTGACCAGGTCTACTGACATTAGCTAATGCCAAATAAAAAACCTGTCAGAGTAAAAATGTATTTGGGGTTTGGGTATTAGAAAACGTACGAACGCACACTCGCACAAGTAAAAAATAATACACGTGGGATGATGTGACAGCCTTACGTTGTCCAGGTCCTTGCGCAGAGCGATTTTGCTGCTGACCAGTTCATGGGCCAGGTCATCATTCTCCTGCTCCAGACGCATGTTAGCCTCCTGGAGACGACGGTTCTCCCTCTACAGGGGAGGAGAGGAGGAAGGTAGGAGTAAGTGAGTGAGTGAGTGAGTGAGTGAGTGGAGGAGAGAAGAAGATAGGGAGAAAGTAGAGATATTGGGAGAGTGAGAGAGTGGAGAAAGGAAAGAGGAGTGAGTGAGTTGAAGAGTGGAAAGAGTGGAGGATTGGAAAGAGTAGAGAAGAGAGAGAGAGGAGATATAAGCCTATTGCTGAAAGACTAGAGAGAGAGAGAGGAGATTGAAGCCTGTTGCTGAAAGAGAGAGAGAGAGAGAGAGAGAGAGGAGATAAGCCTGTTGCTGAAAGTGAGAGAGAGAGCGAGAGAGAGAGAAAGAGAGAGAGAGGCGATAGTAGCCTGTTGCTGAAAGACGAGAGAGAAAGAGACAGGAGATAGTAGCCTGTTGCTGAAAGTCGAGAGAGAGAGAGAGGAGAGAGAGAAGAGAGAGAGGAGATAGTAGCCTGTTGCTGAAACGAAGAGAGAGAGGAGATAGTAGCCTGTTGCTGAAAGACAGAGAGAGAGAGAGAGAGAGTAGTAGCCTGTTGCTGAAAGACGAGAGAGAGAGAGAGGAGAATGTAGCCTGTTTGCTAAAAGAAAGGGGGATAGAGAGGAAAAGGGGGGGTAGTAGGGCCCGTTTTCTTTAAAGACCTAGAGGAGATAGAGAGGAGAAGAGAGGAGATTTGATGCCCTTTTTGCTGAAAGACAGGGAAAAAAAGAGGAGGAAAAATAGAACCCCGTTTCTGAAAGAAATAGGGGAGAAGAGGGGGGGAGATAGTTTTTCCCTTTTCTAAAAGACGGGGGAGAGAAAAGAAGGGGATAATAGCCCGTTGGGAAAGGGGAGGGGAAAAAGAACAAGATGTAGCCCGTTGGGTGAAAGCGGGGGAGAGCGGGGGGGGAAGGGGAGAAGTAGCCCGTTGCTGAAAAATCCCAGGGGAAAAGGGGAGAGAAGAGAGGGGGAGGGGGGAAAAAGAAGGGGAGAGGAGGGTAGTAGCCTGGGGTTTTTTTTAAAGACTAAGGAAGAGAGAGGAAGGGTAGTACCTGTTTGCTAAAAGACGGGGGGGGAGAGAGAGAGAGAGAGGGGGATAAAAGGGCCCTTTTCTGAAAAACTAAGAGAGAAAAAGAGGGGATAAGCCTGTTTTTTTTAAAGAGGGAAGGGGGGGGAGCAAAGGGGGGAAGGGGGATATTAGCCTGTTTCAAAAAAAGAACTTAGAAAAAGAGAGGGGAGGAGGGGAGGGGGAAAAAAAGAGGAAAGAAAGGGGGGAGGGGGGGAAGGGGGGAGAGAGAAAAGAGAGAGAGAGGATTAGAAGCCTGGTTTCTGAAAAAGAAGAGGGAGAGAGGAGAGATAGTAGCCTGTTTCTAAAAGACGGGAGAGAGAGAGGAGGGGGTAGTAGCCTTTGCTGAAAAAACGAGAAAAAGAGAAGAGAGAGGGATATTTGCATTGCTGAAAAACAAAAGAGAAAAGGCGAAGTACCTGTTTTGTGAAAGACGAGAGCGAGGAGAGTAGTTTTGCCTTTTTGGGTTTAAAAAAGAGAGAAAGAAGGAATAGTAGGCCTTTTCCCGAAAAACGAGGGGAGAGAAAAGAAGAGAAGAGGAGATGGTTTTGCCTGTTTTCTGAAAGACGGGGGAGAGGAAAAAGGGGAGAGAGAAAAGGGGGGAGAGAGAGGAGGGTAGTAAACCTGTTTTCTGAAAGACTAGAGAAGGAGAAGGAGATAGTAGCCCCGTTGGTTTAAAGACAGAGAGAAAAAGAGAGGGGATAGTGCATGTTTTTGAAAAAAGGGAGGGAGGAGTAGTTCCTGGTTTTCTGAAGGGCTAGAGAGGAGAAGGAAGAGAGAGAGGGGGAGAGAGAGGGGAGAGGGGAGAGAGAGAGAGGGGAGAGAGAAGAAGGGGGGGGTTTGAAGCCTTTGCTGAAAGAGAGAGAGAGAGAGAGGGAGAGTAGTTTGGCTTTAAAGAATAAAAGAGAGATAGTAGCCCTTTTTTTAAACGATGAGAGCGAAAAAGGGGTTATTTTCCCGTTTTTTGAAAGGGGAAAGATGAGATATAAACCAGGTTTTCTGAAAGGGCGAGAGGAGAGAATAGTAGCCTGTTTCGGAAGACAGAAAGAGAGAAAAGAGAGAGGGAGGAAATTTGAAGCCCTTTTTCTGGGAAAAAAAAAGGGGAAAAGGGGATAGGGAAAAGGGAAATTTCCTTTTTGAAAAGGGGAGAAAAGAGAGAGAGGTATAAGGGGGAAAGGGGAAAAGGGGAAGGGGGGGAAATAGGAAAAAGAGGAAGGGTCGGGGAAACCCAAATGAAGAGAGAGAAAGATGAGGGCAAAAAAACAAAAGGAGAAGAAGAGAGGAGATAGGGGTAGAAGGGAAGGAAAACCGGTTTTCCTTTTTTTGGGGGACCCCAGAGGGAAGGAGGTAAGGATGAGACCCAGGGGGGCGATAGAAAATGATGAGCCTTTTTCCGGGGCCCCAAACCCCCAAAACCCCATTTTTCCGCCGCAGGAGTGAAATTTCCCCGGGTTTGGGGAAAAAATTTGGGGCCCTGGGGAAGGGGAGTTTTCCCCCCGAAAAGAAGATCAAAAAATGGTAGGGGAAAGGGGGAAAGGGAAAGAAGAAAAAAAACAAAAATAGAAATAGAAAAAAATTTAAAAAAAAAGGGGGGGGGCAAAAAGGGGGGGCGAATAATTTTGTTTGGGGGGGAAAAAAAAAAAATTACCCCCCTTTGTTAACCCTTTTTGGTGGCCAAAAAAACCCCCTTTTTTTTTTGGGCCAAAAAACCAAAAAAGAGGTTCCCCCCAACGTTTTTTTCTTTTTGTATTTTGGCCCCCCAAAAAGGTTTTTGGGAACCAAGGGGCCTTTTTTAGGGAAGGGGATGGGTTTTTTCCACTCCTCTTTGCAGATCATCTCCAAGTCATTAAGGTTTCGAGGCTGACGTTTGGCAACTCGAACCTTCAGCTCCCTCCACAGATTTTCTATGGGATTAAGGTCTGGAGACTGGCTAGGCCACTCCAGGACCTTAATGTGCTTCTTCTTGAGCCACTCCTTTGTTGCCTTGGCCGTGTGTTTTGGGTCATTGTCATGCTGGAATACCCATCCACAACACAACACTTTCACCCAGTTCTCCTCTGAATCATTCAGATGTTCATTGGCAAACTTCAAACGGCCCTGTATATGTGCTTTCTTGAGCAGGGGGACCTTGCGGGCGCTGCAGGATTTCAGTCCTTCACGGCGTAGTGTGTTACCAATTGTTTTCTTGGTGACTATGGTCCCAGCTGCCTTGAGATCATTGACAAGATCCTCCCGTGTAGTTCTGGGCTGATTCCTCACCGTTCTCATGATCATTGCAACTCCACGAGGTGAGATCTTGCATGGAGCCCCAGGCCGAGGGAGATTGACAGTACTTTTGTGTTTCTTCCATTTGCGAATAATCGCACCAACTGTTGTCACCTTCTCACCAAGCTGCTTGGCAATGGTATTGTAGCCCATTCCAGCTTTGTGTAGGTCTACAATCTTGTCCCTGACATCCTTGGAGAGCTCTTTGGTCTTGGCCATGGTGGAGAGTTTGGAATCTGATTGATTGATTGCTTCTGTGGACAGGTGTCTTTTATACAGGTAACAAACTGAGATTAGGAGCACTCCCTTTAAGAGTGTGCTCCTAATCTCAGCTCGTTACCTGTATAAAAGACACCTGGGAGCCAAAAATCTTTCTGATTGAGAGGGGGTCAAATACTTATTTCCCTCATTAAAATGCAAATCAATTTATAACATTTTTGACATCCGTTTTTCTGGATTTTTTTGTTGCTATTCTGTCTCTCACTGTTCAAATAAACCTACCATTAAAATTATAGACTGATCATTTCTTTGTCAGTGGGCAAACGTACAAAATCAGCAGGGGATCAAATACTTTTTTCCCTCACTGTATAATGTTTGACTATTCTTGTAAATAACAACCTCTGAGAACAGCCTTGATTAAAAATGGACCTGTGTGCAGTACACAAATTCCCCTGCACTCCAGACATTCATGGCATTCCAACTACCTAATGGATTCCACTGGGGGGTGATTGAGTTTGTGTACAAGTACGTGCAAATCAAATCAAATCAAAGTATATTTGTCACATGCGACGAATACAACAGGTGTAGACCTTACAGTGAAATGCTTACTTACAAGACCTAACCAACAATGCAGTTTTAAGATAAATAAGTGTTAAGTAAACAATAGATAAGTAAAAAATAAAAGCAGTAAAACAACAGTAGAAATAACAGTAGCGAGGCTATATACAGGGGGTACCGGTTAGTCAATGTGCGGGGGCATCGGTTAGTCGAGGTAATTGCGGTAATATGTACATGTAGGTATAGTTAAGTTACTATGCATAGATAGTAAACAGAGAGTAGCAGCAGTGTAAAAGAGGGGGTGGACTGTGCAGTCCATTTAAGAGACTAACTGGACTCCCTCGATCACTCCAATGTTCTGTGATTACCATCTCTCTTGGGTGAAGATAAGAGTAACCAGTACAATAGAACGACTGAAACCAGGGGGTAAACAATCTAACCCATTGATTGGTTGATTGATTGGTCGTACCTCATATCTCTCAATGGGAGCCTCCTGCTGCTCCTGCTGTTCTCTCATGGTGTGGTACTCCTTCTCATACTTCTTCAGCTTCTTCTGGCTGATCTGTAGAGACATGGACAGACAGACACACTGTTACTGGACAGACAGACACACTGTTACTGGACAGACAGACAATGTTACTGGACAGACAGACAATGTTACTGGACAGACAGACACACTGTTACTGGACAGACAGACACACTGTTACTGGACAGACAGACAATGTTCCTGGACAGACAGACACTGTTACTGGACAGACAGACACACTGTTACTGGACAGATCTACACACAGTAGACGACACGGAGGTAAAGATGGGGGAGGAGGAGAGGGCTCCCCATAGCCTCTGTCTGCTTAGAGCTCTACAGTCATGGAGCGAAGGCTTA